GGATGTGTCAGTCAGGTAGGTGACCTTGTTAATTCAGTGCTTCAACTACTCAATTCCAAAGTAGGCCCACAGTCACCATCACATCCATCCTGTTTTAATTCTCTGCATTGCAGTGTATCTCCCTTCCACTCTCAGTACAGTATGAGATCCGTGAAAATGGAGTCTACATCTATCTTGTTCACAATTGATTCCCTGCACCCCGACTTATACCTGCATTAATTTTATACTGTTGAGGGACATTTGCACTAGAATGTTGCGAACAACCCAAGTGCCTGTCGACAGCATGAATGGACAATAGACTGCGGTATGTATACGCCATGGAATGCTATTCATTCCCTGCTAGTCATTCCTAAAAAAGATGGAAGTTTTGCATCATTTGTAACAACCTGGTTGGATTTAGAGAACATTCTAAGTATCACAAGATTGCAAAAACAAGTATTACATGTACTTGATACCAATTTGAAACTAGGAGATTAACAATCACAGACCCATAGGAGAGAAAAGATCTAGGGTTCTTAATAACAGTAAAATAAGATTCAAGCACTACTCTTCCCTAGTTACCATCTGCAACAAATCAACGATCTATGAGGCAAGCCTCCCCCAATCCCTTCTGTATGCCACCTGGCCCCAGCAAAAGGGCTGGCACCTAATAGCTGTTCAATAAACATTAAAAACTGAATGGGGTGGTGGTTCCTGTGGCTCAAAGGAGTAGGGCGCCAACCCCATTTACCGGAGGTGGAGGGTTCTAACCCAGCCCCGGCCAAAAACCTGGGGAAAACGTGCTCTTTTTTTTTTTTGAGACAGAGTCTCACTATGTCACCCTTGGTAGAGTGCAGTGGCTCATAGCTCACAGGAACCTCCAACTCTTGGGCTTAGGCCATTCTCTTGCCTCAGCCTCCTGAATAGCTGGGACTACAGGCTCCCACCACAAGCCACAACGCCTAGCTATTTTTTGGTTGCAGTTTGGCTGGGCTGGGTTTGAACCTGCTACCCTCAATATATAAGGCCAGAGCCCTACTCACTGAGCCACAGGTGCCACCCATTAATCATCTTTTCATAAAACTTGTAGCAATTCCTATCTTTAACAGCAATTATTTATTTATTTTGAGACAGAGTTTCACTATGTTGCCTGGTAGAGTGCCATGGTATCTCAGCTCACAACAACCTCTAACTCTTGGGCTTAAGTAATTCTCTTTCCTCAGCCTCCCAAGTAGCTGGGACTACAGGAACCCTCACAACACCTGGCTATTTTTTGGTTGTAGTTGTCATTATTTGGCAGGCCCAAGCTGGGTTTGAACCCTCCAGCTCCAAGAGTATATGGCTGGTGCCCCTAGCCACTGAGCTACCGGCACCCAGCCAACAGCAATTGTTAGAAGTGCACAGGTATGGAATCTTCATAAATTGATTTTATTGATCTTTCTATTTTATGCCAAACTAAGGCATAAAACCATACATAATTATTTTGATTTTCATTTTCTGACTGTTGGTGATATTATTTTTCCATATTCTGAGATAAGTATCTGATTCTGTTCTGTCCACATTTCAGCCAATTATGCAAACACCATTTATTCTATAAAGCATGTTCCCACTGAATCTACTTGTGAACTTTCTATTATGTTCCACTGAAATTCTATTGAAAGTTCCATTGAATTGTTCTATATGATTTATGTGGCAAGTTCCTCCTCGCATTTTTTTTTTTTTT